TTTTATGGCCATTTTTCTCATCCTGTGGATTCAGAATATGTCATTGATTTTACAATTTCCAGATTTTGCCAAGATGTGACATTTCCTTAACAGTCATTAGGGGTATAGAAAAATGGGACATCAATTTACATTTTTCCAGATGTTACATTTCCTTATCAATTATTATGGGTACAAAATCATTAATAAAATGCGTCACTAATTTGCATTTGTCAGATTTTCCCAAGATGTACTATTTTCTTATTAACAGATGTGAAACTACATAAGACTCTAAGTCTCCTAACCTATCCTTAACCTTTAAGCTTAAAGTACACCTGTACTTTATTTCTTATCTAAGATTCCAATCTAAAGAAGTCACCTTAAATCTTTTTTTTTAATATTTATTTTTTTAGGTGTAGATGGACACAACACAATGCCTTTATTTTTATGTGGTGCTGAGGATCGAACCCGGGTCCCTGACCTGTACAGCTAAAAACCTAAGAATTCTAAACTTAAGAATCTAGGTAAGGGCTGGGGATGTGGCTCAAGCGGTAGCGCGCTCGCCTGGCATGCGTGCGGCCCGGTTCGATCCTCAGCACCACATACAAACAAAGATGTTGTGTCCGCCAAATACTAAAAAATAAATATTAAAAAAAATTCTCTATCTCTCTCACTCTCTCTTTAAAAAAAAATTTGTAACATATGTCTAAATATGTCTTATAAAGCTACTTTAATTAATTCCTACATTTATTCTCATAAAACTGGTTGGGACTACTTTCTCTAAGAGTTTCTTTGTTTCTTGTTCAAGGTGCACTAGTTCTTATATTTTTGTAATCTCTCTCAGTGAAAGGCAAGTTCTGAACATCAGTCCACTTACCACCAATATTAACTATGTTCATCATAAGTCCCTATGTGAGGTAAAAGAGGATTTATAGAAAAGAGGGGAATGTATCTTTATTTACCTTAACTTTCCTAAGTGCATAACATAACTTTCCCTTAATCAAATAAAACTACATATGGTGGGCTTTGTGCAGTAAGCATGATGATTAGGCTTTCTAAGGGGCTGGAAATTTGGGCTTGGGTTCTTAGTGATATAATCAATGTGGTGCCTAAAGTTCTCATGACCTTTTGGAAAATGATTATTGTTCATTATATCAGTTTTGTCCTCAATGTACTAAAATAGAAGAGCAGCCTTCTGTTTTGTCCCCTGTGGGAGGTCAACCTTACGGGTGACTGAGTTACACTCCCCAGCTGGGTGCTGAGGCGCTCAGTCACAGAAATGGGTGTGTCTTGCTACAGCCCCATGGGTGGAGCTACCCTCACCTGTTCCTTTGTAATATAACCCCTTGCCCTGTTTAGGGTAGAATCTTCCATGGAAGTACCTTATGTGTGTCCCCTTCTCTTACTGTACCCTTGGGTGTGGCCTACCCAGGTGTCAGTCAACCTGCTGACAGTGGACATCATGAAGATACTCAGCCCCCTGAAACCTGACCCCTTGCCTCATTTAAATAGCTTCTCCTCAATAAAAGGGGTCAGCGAGTGCTCTCACTCTCTCTTTCTGCAGACCCTTAAGGTCAGAGGAGCTGTCACAGCAACCCCAAAGAAAAAGGTCTTTGTGTGTCTTGTGTGGTTCTTTCGTGCAGCCCAGTCAGCCCAGTTTAACTAGAGTGACCCTGAGCCTTTTAGTCGCGAGAACAGAAACCCGGCAGTCCCCGATATGCTGAGAGGTAGTAGAACAGCCTTCAAGGCGTGAACTGCCTGTTGGGTTCTAGCCCTCTAAAGTTTAATTTGGTTTGGCCTCAAGCATACTCAGGCCTCCTGTCAGGACAGGAGCATGAAAATGAAAAGTCCCAAGGGCATAAAAAGGGTCTCATGGTTTCGGTTTCCCACTGGCGCGGCTTTGCCAACACTTATTCTCACTGTGACCTTGTCGAGACAGTGGGCAGCGGGGAGGTGCCTTCACCATATATGTCCTGGACTGACTATAAAAATTCTAACTGATTGATTCAAGGCTATTTCGGGCTATTTCCCTGATGTGAGCTGAGATTTTGTCCGCATTTTGACATGATAAAGACCTATTAAGATGTTAAGTTTATTTCCTTTAAGGAAGGTCTTTATTGCCTAGTGATTCTTACTGTTTGAGACAAGGATTCATTTTGGTGAATAAACTCACATCCTTGATTAAACACTAAATATATTAAACTGCTGACTTAGATCCCAATTTTGACAATTCTCCTTGGAGACTAAATTTGATTGATTCAATGACACTGCTGATTCTTGAACATTACTTTTGTTTGTTGGATAGTTATGAGATTTGGGAGAACATTTTATTAGGACTGAGGTTCTCCAAATTAAAGTTGTATGTTAGTTTTGAACAATAAAAGTTACAAACTTTGTTGGAAATTTATCGATATTATATAAGTTCTGACTGGACCTATTATCCATAAAAATATGGTAAGATTAATATACTACTGCCTATACTTGGAAGTAAACTCAACCATGTTTTCTAAAAGACAATTAAGAGATGCCTAATTAAAAGATAATATTCTGAAACATAGAGATATTTTGAGACCTTCTCTCAGAAAGAGATTGAGGGTTTTTTCTAAATCGTTAGGATAAATTATCTAGTCTATATATTGGGAAGTTACAATCAATAAAAAGTTTCTCATCTTCATCTCTAACCTCAATTACTACTAACAAAGAAGGTCTTTGCTCAATTTTACTAAATAAAGAAAGGGGGAAACAGGACCCCACAGACACATACTAGATCTTATAAAATGTTTTAAAACTTTTTCTTAAATTGTGATTCTGAGAGTTTCACTGCTGCTGAACATGATTCAGTAAATTAAATCAGATTTCAAAAGATAGACTTTAAACCTGTCATTGTGAAAATGACTGAGAAACCTGGCCCAGGAAGGTGAATTTCCAGCTGCAGAGTTCACAACCATGCAGCTTCACGAGCTCGTCAGGTAAGTAAAAATCATGAAGAGACTTCTATGGACCCACTTCCCAGGTCTGTTTTTAATGTACATTGTGGTGTGGACTGGAAAGTCCACCAATGAAACTAGATGAATTGTGCTGACGGTAGTGGTCAGTTATCCCTAGCTGTTGATCCTATGGTAACAGGCTGTCTGGGAGTATCCTTTGAGAAAAAGACAGCATATCAGAAAACTGAACCAGCCAATCATGCTGGTCCTTAGAGATTAAGACTATATTTACCTGTCTGAACAACTGTCAGAAAGATTACTAAAATAGATTTTTCCTATACAGACCAGTTATTTACATAGAATATCCACCAATGTATTGTCGCCCTAATCATTCTACAGTAGAAACTGGCACCTTTCCTAAGTGGATGGATTGTGCATGTCAGTAGAACACAAGATATCTAGAAATAGTGGATATTTTAGGCTGGTCTCTAAAATGGACAAGAACGATCACATGAGGATGCCAAAATTCCTAGAAACTTTAACTCTCAGTGAGATGGCACCCAAAAGGATGTTTTAATGTTTGACTTCTGCCTTCAAAATATTTACATTACTGACAGACCAATAAACTCCCTAAATGTGAGAATTAAGAGGAAGAATGATGAATATCCTGTAGCCTGTAAGAATACAACTTATCTTATTGTATCACTAGTTATTGCCAGCTGATATTTCAGAGCTATAATATGCTGAAGTTAATATTCAGGCTTTGAAACAGGTGCAAGTCAATTAACCAGAACTAGGCAAGCTGCTGGTCTCATGATCCTTAAAGTCACTACTTTAAATATTATTCCTTGCTTCTACAATACAGCCTTTATGTTTTAAACTTGCAACAGGTGAATTTTCTAAGATTTGACTTAAATTATTTCCAAGATCCTTCACAGTCAGAGAAGTGCTGATGGAAAGATGGGAACTAAATTAAAATGCTCTAGAAGCCACTGTAATAAATATTGTGAGTGAGCCCTCTGCTCTATGGTTTATGGAAAGGCTTAAATGTCATGCCAAATGAAAACGTTTGTGTTACTATGGCCAAACACAATGCTTCCCAATAAAATTGGGAAAAGTTTAAAAATATTCTGATGAGTGTTTGGCAGAATAATAATAATAATCTGGATCTTCCAAGTTGATTATGTTATTAAAATCTGTTTTCTACTAATTCATTTGTGTCTCAATAGTAGATCACGATGACCTTGGACTAAGAATCCAGTGACTGGAAGATATAATTCCCCAATTGCTCTTTTTTTATATATTTAGAAAGGGGGAATATGTCGGAAGTTGCCACATAGGAACCGAGTGCCCCTTAGCCTTGAGTGATGACAATATGGAGATGTGGCAAGCCAGCCATGAGCTGTGTGTGTGGACTATGGGCACTGAGCCCACAGGGTGGACAGACCCGATGTTGCCCCTCTGTTTGGCTGGGCCTTGCTCTGCCATGATCCCCACACAGCTCATGGGATGGGCGTGGCCTCCCTAGATGTCAGTCAATCTGCTGACAGGAGACATCAGGAAGCTAGACTCAGCCCCCTGACACCTGACCCCTTGCCTCATTTGAATGGCTTCTCCCCAATAAAAGGGTTTAGCACGGGTTCCTCACTCTCTTTCTTCTCTGACCCCTAAGGTCAGAGGAGCCATCACAGGACCCAAAGAAAAAGGTCTCTCTGTCTCTTGTGTGGTTATTTCATGCAGCCCAGTTCCCCTGGAGTGACGAGACACTTGTGGAAGGTTTTCATTGTCCGTGCTTGCCAGGATGCTGTCCTGGGCGTGGTCCCACATTGAAAAGGAAATGATGAATGTTGGACTCAGTATCAAAACCCTAGAGCTACCTGTGGGCAATACAAAGTTTTCAAAGGAGTAGCTCCTCAGCTAAGCGTAACTGGAGCCCGGGGCTCAATTTAACTTCCCTGTCCTGAGGTGATGGCTAGCAGCAAAAAACACTGGCTCAGATAATATCAATAGTCGTACTTCTGCAGAATTTTAAGAGGAAACCATAAGTTTTAAAAGAGAAATAAAAAGCCAATAGGCAAAACAAACCAGGCCATAGGATAGTTCCAAACCAAAAACATAATTTTATTTTATAATAATGTCAATTTTCTCAATGACATCTAAAGAAAACCCAACTAGTCTGCAGAAGAATAGGTCTCTCCTTGTCAGGAAGATGATCGAAGAGCAGTCATTAGAGGCGTCTCCGTGAATCTGTTGACCAGCGCTTCAGAGAGAGAAAACTGTGAGTGGCAAAGGACTTCAAACAGCCGGGATTGGACGATTCAGCAACTGTCAGGCGATCTGATATCCCACTGGATGCAGCATATCCTCGCCCTCTCCAGAAGCTCTTCCAGTTCACCATCCCAGTGTGAATGTTCAACACGGTCCTCCCTGTGTCACCCACTGACCACAGGCCGTTTCTATCCAATTGCACAGCACTAAATGGCACAAACAGATCCCAATGCAACGTTGTCTTTTAAAACTAAAGGAAATGAGGGCTGGGGCTGTAGCTCAGTTGGTAGAGCGCTTGCCTAGCACGTGTGAAGCACTGGGTTCGATCCTCAGCACCACATTAAAAAAAAATAAATGTATTGTGTCCATCTACTATTAAAAACTAAAAGAAATGAAGCCAGGCATAATCCCAGCAACTCAGGAGGCTGAGGTAGGAGAATCATAAGTTTGAGACCAGCCTCAGCATTGCAAGACCCTGAGCAACTTAGACCCTGCTCAAAAAAAAAAAATAAAAAAAGGCTGGGGATGTAGCTCAGTGGTAAAATGCCCCTGGTTCTATCCCTAATACTGAAAAATAAATAAATAAACAAACAAAACGTGCTGGGCACAGCGACACAGCCCTATAATCCTAGTGCCATGGGAGGCTGAGGGAGGAGGGTCCCGAGTTCAAGGCCAGCCTGGGCAACTTAGTGAGAAACCGTCTCAAAATAAAAAAATTAAAAGGGCTGGGGATATGGCTCAGTGTAGAGCTCCCCTGGGTTTCATTCCCAGTACCACACAAAAAATTTTTTGATATTTAAAAAGTAGAGTGTGTTTTGTTTGTAGGTTCACTTCCTAGGTGACTAGTGCCCAATCGTTTAATTTCCAGAGTGGTGCTGCTTGAGATAGTGTTTAGGCACATCCAGTACCGTGCACAGAAGTGAGAATCACAACACAGCAGAAATACACAGACATAAGCCTGGAAAAAGCTGTCCCTGCAAATAAGTCTTGCCTGGAAGACACCAGCTTGGAAAAATGCTCTCCAGACCTTGAACACTGGGAAACACAGATATATCTAACCTACAGGGAAGCCAGTAATGAATAGCATCATAGCTACACAGAAGTCCTTTATGTATTGATTTAGCTTTTACTTTCGAAGCAAAATTTAGAATCCATAGCTCAGTAGGAGAACTATAACTGTGAGATTCTGCCTTTAACAGGACTACGAAGACTAACAAAATTGAAAAAAAAAATCAAAGAATAGGTTTAGATCTCTAATAAGATTAGGAAACAGTGCTAATGACCACAAATAGATCGATTGCATCATGTACAAGTGCATCTAATATCATAATATCTAACACGCAGAGCAAACAGGTGCTCAACAGGTTTTAATGGTGGACTTCCCAACTGGTAAGTTTCTTTCCATCTTAATGGTACCGAATGAAAGTGGCAGAAATGCCAAAAAGTTTTATTGACTATTTGATGTGCTGAAGGTCCAAATACAATGCACATTGTGTGAAAGAAAGCACTTTGGGTCACCTTGCCCGTGCTAGGCCTGAGCGACCTTACACTTAGAGACGAGCTACACGGTGGACATGGCACTCAGCTTGACTCACAGACACAGTGTCAACTTACAATGACTGTCGTCGATTTGATCAGAGTCATTAAGTGGTCACTTCAAAGACTTTAAAATGGACAGACACACGACCTTGGCCGCTGCCGGAGCTGGGGAGCCGCTGTCCCCGACGAATTGTTCCCGAAAGGCGACGGAGGAAACTGAGGAAGAGCTGGAAGAGGACGATGACGACGACGAGCCAGATGGGACCCTTCGGAGAGACTCTGTCGGAGACGTTCCCGGAGAGGGTCCGGTCGGTCGGCGGCCGGAGCCACTTTTGATCTCTCCCTCTTAGTGGCTCAGAAAAGGTCCAGGTTTTCCAGGGCAGCCAGGGACGAGCGCCTGCTGTGTGACGTCGTCCCCAGACAGAGAAGTCACCCAGCGGCAGACACCTCTAGGCTAACCAGCTGGTCAGGCTGCAGGAGAGCTGCCAGGAGGAGAGGAGGGCTCTGCCCTCAGGCCTGGAGGATCCGTGGAGACTGCGCTCTGGAGCTGTCTCCATGGGAGAAATTTGAAATTCAATTCAATCTGACTGCTGACTATTTGGGGAGAAAACAAAAATCTCTTTAAACTGTGGCACATTGATCCCAACCTGGTGGGAAGAATTCTCCCCTCATTGTCAACCGTGCCCTCCAGCTGTCCTCAATGTTCCTTCTGTCCTCGCTGGGACACCAGAGTGCAGCTGTGCAGAGGGGTGTCCCAGCGCTGGCCACCTCACCCCTTCAGTACATTGCTCCTAGGGAGGACCCCACTGTCTGTCTCATTATGGGGTAGAAATGATGCTCCACAACCGGAGGGAAGGGCCCCTGATTTTCTTTCTTTCTTTCTTTCTTTTTCTTTTTCTTTCTTTTATTTTATTTTTTTTAAGAAAGGAGATGTTGGGGAGGGACATGTACATATTATAAAACTGACAAAGAGCGCGGTGGCTGTCTTGTAAAGCACCAGGAGCCCCGTGTATTCTGAAGAGAAGGGAGGCCGTTTACCGCTTCAGCCACAAAATGGGGACAATGAGTGTGGAGGACGGAGCAGAGGCTCGTTTCCTCTGCACATTTTGGCTATTAGACCTGTGTGTAAAAAAAAAAAGTCAGCACTCACTTTTTGTATTTATTAAAAATGATTCCAACTCAAAAATAAATAAATAAAATGAATAGACACTTAAACCTTGGCTTTGCTAAGACTCATTTTCCTAAGTAATCAAAAGCTTAACAAATGCAACAGAAAATACAAGAGATTATCTCAATAAAACACAAAAGCTTTGTTCCTTAAGCCAGTTTTTATAAACTTCAGCTATAGCATAGAATCTAGCTGCTTTAAACATAATCAGACCCTGGTTTTCCATCATGCATTAAGTGTAGACCTCCTTGCCTGTAGCTGACTTAGCCACACTTTCCATGCTGTGATCCTCTGGTTTTGCCTTGTCTTTCTGTCTTTTCATTTTGGCCTTTTATCTTAGAACAAAAACCTTGTCATAGAAAATTCTTTCTTCTCCCCAAATATTCTCTTTTATTTTGAACCTTCATTACCAAAATTGTGGCCTCATACCCATAACTTGCTTCATGTTGTTCCTTATTTCGGACTTATTGGTTCTTTCCTGCCTTTTTTCCTTTTTTTAAATATTTTTTTTAAGTTGTAAGTGGACCCAATACCTTTATTTTATTTTTATCTGGTGCTAAACATTGAGCCCAGCGCTCACGCATGCTAGGTGAGTGCTCTACCACTAAGCCACAACCCAGCCCCCTTGTTTCCTTTTTAAATTTACATTTTGCAACAATCCTTACAAGTTATCTTAGTATAGATGGCAGGAGAGGGAGAGGGAGGGAGAGGGAGGGAGAGGGAGGGAGAGGGAGAGAGAGAGAGGGAGAGAGAGAGAGACTGAAATCAGATGGAGAGGCAGAGAGTTGCAAGGTCTTGCAGTTAACCACCATTGCAGCCCAAGAGCTGTCTCAAGGTATTCACCAGAAACAGTCAAGATGTCCATCAATCACAAGCAGGGAGAGTGGGAAACCACGGCACCAAGCGGAGCTCCTCTTCAATTAAAGTACTGATGCGCAGAGGGGCTACTACTAGTGAGTCCAGCTCAAGAAAGTGTGCAGATGGGTCCACTGCCTCCCAAGGTCCCATTTCATAGGGTTCTATCTCTTTCAGACATAATGGCATTTTTTGTTTTAACTACATCTTAATGGGCTCTACATCCGTAGTTTAGCCAGAGACCTCCATATTTTAAGTTGAAGTGGGCATCTGGAGATCGTGTGTGTGGTGCTGGGATGGACCCAGGGCCTCTGTGTGCTGGGTGGGTGCTCCGCACTGAGCTACACTCCAGTCCTTTTTTTTTTTTTTTTTAACTTATTTTGAGAAAGGGTCTCTAAGTTGTCCAAACTTAGGGTTCTCCTGTCCCGGCCTCCCAGCGGCTGAGGTCACGGGAGCGTCACCACGCGTGGACAGTGCCTGAGCTTTCACAGGCTGCAGAGCTGAGGCAGGAGTGGCCTGTTTTTTAGGCAGGGCCAGCCAGCAGGGCCCCCGGTGAGGGCTGACTCTGGTTTGACCCTTTCCCTGGGTTGCCTCCTTCACTTACTAACCCCCAAGGCCTTTCAGAGGCCAGGAGACTGGGAAACTCCCGCCCCTTGAAGAAGGAAAAGTAGACTAAACCAAATAGGGTGGTCCGGGGTTCCTCGGAGGACATGGAACTGTCCCCTGTAGCAGCATTAAGTCTGGGCATGGGAAAGAGCAGCTGAGGAGACACAGCAGGCCCAGTGCTCCCAGAGCAGGAAAGTAGCAGGGCCACCGTCCTTCAAGACAGGACCTGTGGGAGACCCAGGGAGGCCTGCCACGGAGAACCGCCAGCTTCAGGACTCCAGAGGAGGAGGACATGTTCTTGGGAAGAAACTGGCCACCAGCAGAGGCACATGCCACATGTCTGCCTTGGGGCAGTGGCCCTGTCTGCTGTCCTGAATGAGACAAGCTCTGGTAGTGACGCCCTTATATCCCCATGAAGATGAAAACTCACCTCACCACCTGAACCAAATTTCTCAAAAGCCTTTAAGTACCACGGAGGAAGGAGAAGGGAGGAGAAAGTCCTTGGGTTTCAAGAACAGGAACTCCCCTGGGGTGAGGGTTGGGGAAGAGAGCATATCCCAGGACCTGGAAAAACACGGGCAAGACGGGGCAAGGTCTCCCACTGGAGGAAAACAGGAAGATGGGGACGAAAGCACTGATGGCCAGCCAGAGGGCAGTAGGCCTCCAGCCAGGACAGCAGCCCCAGGCGCTCCGCCCAGGCCCAGCAATGGCTGACGGCTTGGCGCAGCTGAGGGCCTCCAACCTCAGGGACGTAATCCTTCTGGGGCTGCGATTTCCAACCCCATGTAATTCTGAGTCAGGAAAAGACACAGATCTTCTAGGCAGTAGATGCAAAGTTTGACTGGCCTGTTCCCCAGCCATGAGGACATCCAGGTGGCTAGAGGGTGAGTACCCAGTCAGAGGCTCCATTTCCACTTCCCATATTGGGAAAAAGGATGAGAGAGAAGAAGAGAGAGAGAGAGGAGAACTAGGGAGAGGACAGAGCAGCTGGGCCCTGTGTGGCAGGAGCTCTGGGTCTCAAAAGCACAATTAAATAGCTTCAGCAAACATTTAAAAAATTTTGCCAGGTGTGGTGATACGTGCCTGTAATCCCAGCACTCAGAAGGCCGGATGCCTGGCTGGACCCTCAACTGAGGTTTCTGTCTCTTCCCTTCCTGGAATTCTCCTCAAGGTAGCCAGAGGAGTGGCCAGTGGGACAGGCCCATGGGTAGCTCTGGATAACCTATGTTCCAGGATTGGTGACCATGGGCCCTGCCCACACCCAGACATTAAGATCCCCAGAGCCTGGCAAAGCTCAGAAGGGGAGGGGGGATGCCCTGGCCCAGCCCTGCCCCACTTCAGGGAGACTCCTGCAACCTCTGTCTCATGAAGGAGCCAGGGCTGGCCTGCTGGAGGGTGAGCAGCATGTGTCCGTGTTCAAACAAATATATATATATATATATATATATATATATATATATATTTTTTTTTTTTTTAAGAGAGAGAGAATTTTTCAATATTTATTTTTTTAGTTCTCGGCAGACACGACATCTTCATTTTATTTTTATGTGGTGCTGAGGATGCCAGGCTATTTTTATGTGGTGCCCTGCACATGCCAGGCTAGCATGCTGCCGCTTGAGCATCTCCAGCCCCTAGGACAAATATTTTTATGTCCCCCTCAAATTCATATGTTGAAGTCCCGACCGCCAACGTGAGGCCAGAATTGGGTGCGGTGGCTCACACCTATAATCCCAGCAACTCAGGAGGCTGAGGCAGGAGGATTACAAGTTCAAAACCAGCCTCAGCAACTTAGCAAGGCCCTAAGCAACTTAGCAAGACCCTGTCTCAAAAATTTTAAAAAAGGGCTGGGGATGTGGCTCAGTGGTAAAGTACTCCTGGGTTCCATTCCTAGTCCAAAAAAAGGGGGGGGCGGGAGAAGGAGGAGGAAGAGGAGGAGGAGGAGAAGAAGGAGGAAAAGGAGGTGGGCAGGAGAAGCAGAGATTCAGCTCACAGCAGAGGACCCTCTGTCAACCCCCGAGACCCTGACCTGTGAGCACCCGACTTGCTGTCCAAGCCAGCCCCTGCACGGGGACGGTCAGAACAGCCATGTGACCGACACCACCTGTGCTGACAGACACCACCAGCACCAGGTGAGGCCTCAGCTGCCAGCCCTGTGCCACACGCAGCAGGCTGAGCCGCTCCACTGATCCCAAGCTGCCGGCTCCATGAGTTTTCCTCTGCCACCTCCAGTCTCGGGTGGCCGGCGAGGCCTGACAGCCACTGCCTTTATCAGGGCTGTGCAGCTGTGGAAGGGACACGGGGGCTTTCCCAGCCCGCCCTCAGAAACCCATCTTGGCAGGTATGCCTACAACTGATGCCAGTCAAACTGGCCAAGACAGAAGCCGCGCACCTCTGCTCTGTGTCAGTAGGGGGCAGAGCCTCCCCGAACCTCTGCCTCGGGGCTGAGTAGCCCTTCTGAAGGGCTGTCTGCAGGAAGCATGTGACTGGGGAGGCCTCTGGAGCAACCTCATTCTTGAGAAATCCCCCAAAGGAAAGAACAAAAAACACACGAGGACAGAAATGCCAAGGGAACAAGGCAGTGGCCCACGTCTGTCACCCCAGTGACTCCGGAGGCCAAGGCAGGAGGATCGTGAGCTCAAGGCCAGTCTCAGCAATGGAGTGAGACCCTGTATCAAGGGATGTGTCTCAGTGGTAGAGCAACCTCCAGGCTCAGTCTCCTGTAGCGAACAAACCCCAAGTGAACATTGTTCATGAATATCAAAATAAAAGGGGCCCCACGCGGCCCTTTCCCAGGACATGCCAGGCCACAGCTTACCTGACCTTCACAGTGACCCCGTCAGGGTCATGTGCACCTCAGAGGGGAAGGATCAGTGCACACAGCAGCCACAGCGCCGGTTCCAGCACGCCACCTGGTCATGTGACCCTGGTCAGCCTCCCACCGCCTAGCTGGCGCGACGGGCATGCCTCCAGTCCTGCCCAGACAGGCACACTGGTCTGTGGCCCCCGTCTTCCTGATCTCCTCGCTGACTGCCCAGCCTCCCTCAGTCTCTTTTCTGCCTGTTCTCTCCTTCCTTCTTACCACACACCCGCTGGCAGGGCTGCGTGGGTGCAGGTCTGGGGCGGGAAGGGACTGCTAGGAGACAAGCCTGAGGCTCGCACACCCTTTCCCCTGTGTGGCGACAGGCTCCGCCCTCCCCTTCCCCACCAGAGGTGTTTCTCGGCCCTCCTCCTGCCCCCATGCTCTCCCTCAAATGCTGCCAACGTGCAGCTCTCACCTCGTCCCCGGCACAGACTTTCTCTGCACTGCGCCCAGGCAGCTCTTCTCTTGAGCTGTGTGCCACCCCACCTCGGGTGTGCCCTGGGGCTGGCCACACCCTCCTCTGCAGCCCTACCTCCTAAGGCCACCTGGGCCATTGCCTCAGCAAAGGGGGTCCTGGGAACTAACTAGCCACAAGAAACACTTTCCCCTGGGAGTGCTGCCCAGGATGCCAGAGCCCCGGGGGCCTGTCAGCACCCTGCCTCCCCGACATTGCCCTGCAGACCCCTCCCCTCCACTGACCCAGCCTGAACCCAGTCTGGGGTATTTCCCATCTCCACTAGGGGTGTGAGCCCAGACCCCTCCAGCCACCTTCCCTGCCAGGTGGGGGGTCCATCAGCAGCGGGCCCTGCAGTGAACAGGTCATTGGCGGGCTGTATCTAGCACCTCTAGATGCCCCCCTGGCCTTATACCCTGGAGAGAAGAGAGTAGAAAGTCCCTGGAAGAGAACTGCCCCGAGGGCAGAGTCCCCTTCGCTGCAGCACCCACCCTACTGCAAGCCCCTCAGACCCTCCAAGCCATGACCTTCTGTCAGCAAGTTTGTTACTGTGAAAGTCGGTGATCCCAAGGAAAAAATCCTCTTCTCAGACCAGACAGAACCAGAGCCAGGAAGTAACCGCTGGGAAGGGCTCCTCACTCGTTCCTGTACCTGCTCGGGGAATGCCTCAGAGCCTCACAAGAGATTCCCTGTCCTACCCGTCCCGGGCTTTGTGCGCTGGCACACGTGCACACAGGTCCCTGCACAGTTCACCTTAGCCTTCTCTAGGACAGGGGCAGCTCAGACGGGAGGCTCTGGCCGGAGCCCAGCAGAGGCCCCTGCACCAAAGCCCTGACGCCAAGTCCTGGGGGGTCTCCAAGACCATGGGCTCTGGATCCAAGCAGCTCCCGAGCTTCTCCCTTTTGCCTTTAAAAACTTTCCCTGCCCAAATAAATACCATTGTTTTCTTTGGAGACCCCCCTGATTGTTGGTTTTGCCAGGAATTGAACCCAGAGGTGCTTAACCACAGAGCCATATATATGTATATGAGACAGGCCTCACGGAGTTGCTGAGGCTGGCCTGGAACTTGTGATGCTCCTGCCTCAGTCTCTCCAGGGCGGTCACTGGGATCACAGGAGTGCACCACCCACCTGCTCTGATTGTCACGAGGTTGGAATGTGGCATTTGGGAACCTTGACTGGGGAGTGGTGCCAATCTCAAGTCCCAGTCTTTCACTTGGGCTAAGTCCTGGGCAGATCTCCATACAGAGGTCCCACCTGTATGGAGAAAACACCCATCCCAAAGGCAATGCCTGGATTCTGGCTGTAACAGCTTCTTCTAGCAAAGTGACTGAGACCCAGGAGGGGAGAAGTGGGCTCAGCAGGGGTGAGATAGGGTTCTAAGTCCCTTCAAATCTGCCAGCCCACCCACAGACAAGGACCCCAAAAGGCAATAGGGGTGGGGAGGGAGCCAGGCTGTGGCTCAGCCTGTAATCCCAGCGGCTGGGGAGGCTGAAGCAGGAGAATGGCGAGTTCAAAGCCACCCTCAGCAAAAGCGAGGCTCTAAGCAACTCAGTGAGACCCTGTCATTAAATAAAAATAGGGCTGGGAATGTGGCTCAGTGGTCAAGTGCCCTGAGTTCAATCCCCTGTACCCCCCAAAAAAAGGTCACAGGACAGGAGGAGTGTGCAGGGGAGGGGCATTGGGAAGAGAGGCTTGGGTTACTTTCAGGCAACCTGGAGGGATCACCAAACACCTCCACCAGCCCCAGAGGGGGCTGGGGACCAGGGTGTCTGGGAGCTGGGGAGCTGTGGGCTAGCTTCCTGCACCCAATGCGCTCCACCAACATTGCTGGGAGCCTCTGCTCCGGGCCTCTGGGGTGGCCTCTGTCCTGCCAACCCAAACATACCCCAGCCGAGCACAGCACAGACACCCGCGAGGGAGCAGGGTCCAATAGCCTGGGCGCAGCGCAGCTTGCCACCAGGGCCCTGGTAGCCCTGGCGCCCGACTTGCCTATCCAGGTCCCCACCTGCCTCGCCCATCCCTTCCTTCCCAGCTTCACAACCAGGGACAGCGCTAGGCCCCTTGCAGGCCACTGCTGCGCAGTGAGGTTCCTCTTCCTCAGTGCCCAGCCCACCCGCCCACCTTGGCCAGAAGCCCTCTCGCTGGCTTCCGGCCATTGGTCCCTGCTCAGACCCAGGGACACTGTGTCTTCCCAACTCTGGACCCTGAGGGCCTATTCAGACCTTGCCCAGGGCCCTCCAAGGAGTAATGCCCCTGGCTCTCACGAGAACCAGGGCCCCTCAGCGTGGGATGGGGCTGAGAGGGAAGTGGTGCCGGCCTGAGCTCTCTTCCTTCCGCCTTTTCTCATATCCACCAGGCTATGTCCTCAATCCGGAGCCTTGAAGCCCAGCATTTCCTGTCTGGTTTATTACTAAAGAACAGAAAACATGGCGCTGGGGCTGTGGCTCAGTGGTAGAGCGCTCGCCTAGCACGTGCAAGGCTCTGGGTTCGATCCTCAGCACCACATAAAAATAAATAAATAAAATAATGCATATGAAAAAGAGCAGAAAACATGAACAAGGAATACTCCTTCAATGTCTGGTTTAGGCCAGTGCCCAGCTGGAAACTGTGGCCACCCCAGGACACTGTCTGCAGGCCGAGGGCAGGTGACAGCTTCCTCAGTTGCCAGGGTTTCCCCTGGCTGTAGATGGCACTGCCTGGTATCACTGCCTCAGACAGAGCCCTGCAGTGGCTGCCACCCTGTTCCCCTGCAAGGTATCTATGCCCTCTGGAAAAGTAATCCAGGGCTTGTCTTGTCTCACCTTTTTGGAAGCTCACAACAAGGCTCACCCTGCACACAAGAGGCCTCTCCACCTCCTGCCCTTGAACTAGAGCTGGCCCATCTGGAGAGATGGAGATAAGGGCAGGAGGTGTTGGAGAGGCAAGGCTGGGCACAGGAAAAGACCAGGGAGCCAGTCTGAGCTGGAGGAGGGAGATGCCTAATAGGATCACCTGCTCGCAGGGGACCACCCTAACCTAGCACCTCACACACAAGCACACATACAAATGCACACACACAAACACAAATACACACACACTCACATGTGTACAAATGCAGATTTATGAGCATAGGAATGTGAATACATGTACATGTGTAATCACACATAAGCATATGTGCACACACCTATAGCAATACACCAACACATACAACATGCACATACATATGCATATGTGTAAACACACTCTTGGCCCTACTCAGCCTCCTGGAGTCTTTTTCTAGCACTAGAAAGGACATCTGTCCAGCAAGTGGGCTGGACAGAGCCCCAAATTGCCCACTTCCCCCAGGGGCCCTGACAGTGGAGCTTGACCTGGGGTACACAGCAGTTCTGGGCTTCTGCCTGCACAAGATGTTTCCTTTTTATTTAAATCTGATTTTCTACTTGTCTGCAGCTACAGCTTCCAACACACACCCACCAGAAATTGCCTTCAGGTGGGGACCTTGTCTCGGTCACCACTAGAAACTGCCACTAGAAGATCCCATTTGTCAAGTGAACAAAAGAGTGGCAGATACTTCAGGGTGCATCTCAGGCCAGCCCTGCCAGGCAGAGTGAGGTGGGGGACTTAGGTGGGTCCCAGAATGCCTTCAAGGTCCAGGCCTATGGTGGTGGGATGGGGAGGGGTTCCAGGACCCTGTCTGCCACTGCACTCCTATCCTGGGCACCCCCAGCCTGGCTTAAGGTTGGGCTTCAGGACTTGGGTCAGCAGATGAGCAGAGGCTGGCTCTCCATCACCTTTGTACAAGCCAGGACCTGGACCCCTCAGGAGGAGCTGCTAGGGCACAGTGGAGCAGCCCCCAGTGCTGTGGCCTCCCGGGGATGGCACATACCCAGTTAGTCTAGTCTTCTCTGTGGGGACTGCACCAAGGCAGTGCCCATGTATACTGCTCTCTCTTGCCCAGCAGGGAGCACGCAGCCTCCACCCAGGGACTTTAATGTGGGTGGGCTCCTTGCCCACTAGTCCTGAGGAGGCCTGCTCTGCCCAGCAGCATGTCCTGAGATGAAACCTTAGACCCACCTGGCTTGCAAGACAGTTCCTGAGAGAGCCAGGAGACAGCACTGGAGAGACCTGACTGTGGCTGTCCCTATTATGACCATGCCCGGGAGAAGGGCAGTCTCTCAGAGGCCCTGCACCAGGCCTGGGGCTCAGTCCAGAATAGCCTGGTCCACAATCTAGAGCAGGCGGGGGGACCGACCCAGCCCACGGCAAACCAAGACAGTGGGGCACTAAGGGGCCTGAGGCCAACTTCAGTATTGCTACTGGGCTCCACATTTTAGCTACTCTTCATGAACTATACAATTCCTCCATTTAAAGTGTACAGTTCTGTGGGGTTTAGCATATTCAGAGGTGTGTGACTATCACTACAATCTTTTTTATTTTTAAAACCAGGGTTGTTTTTTTTTTTACCACTGAGCCACATCCTCAGCTCCTTCTCCTTCTCCTTCTCCTTCTTCTTCTTCTTCTTCTAAGCAGGGTCTCACTGAATTGCTTAGAAACTCACTAAGTTGCTTAGAGACTCACTAAGTTGCTGAGGCTGGCCTTGACCTGATACCATATTTTTCTTATCATGCATCACTTGATGGTCAGTTATTTCAGTTATTTCTACTATTTATTGTTTGTTAGTTTTGCAGTATTGGCAATGGACATGCTAGGTAAGTACTCCACAATTGAGCTTTACCATCAGCACTTTTTAAAAAGTTTTGTTTTAAGATAGAGTCTTGCTAGGGGCTGGGGATGTGGCTCAAGCGGTAGCACGCTCGCCTGGCATGTGTGCGGCCCGGGTTCGATCCTCAGATGTTGTGTCCGCCGAAAACTAGAAAATAAATATTAAAAAATTCTCTCTCTCTAACTCTCTCTAAAAAAAAAGAGTCTTGCTAAATTGCTGAGGCTGGACTCTAACTTGCAATCCTCCTGCCTCAGTCTACTGAGTAGATGGGAGTACAGTCATGTGCAAATGACACTTTAAAAACATTTTTTTAATTTGTTTTAATTAGTTATACATGACAGTAGAAAATGCATTTTTGCACTTTGGTATGCAACTGAACTTTTTGACTACTATGAATAACGCTGCTATGAACATTGGTGTACAAGTCTCTGACCTCTTGCTTTCAGTTCTTTTGGGTACCAAAAGAGTGAAATCACTTGGCCACATGATAACTCAAAGTCCACCTGTTTGAGGAGGTAGAACTGGAAAGGGGCTCTGTCTGCCCTGGGGTTTCAGCACCTCCACTCCTCCCCACCACTTATTAATCACAGCCATCCTAGTGGGTGTGATACCTCATGGTTTTGATTTGCATTTCCCTGATGACTAATGATCTTGAGCATCTTTTCATGTGCTTGCTGGCGATTTGTACATGTTTGATCCTTTGCTGTGGCCCCAGATTTTATTTATTTATTTATTCATTCATTCATTTATTGGTACCGGAGATTGAAACCAGAGGTGCTTAACCACTGAGCCACATCCCCGGCCCTTTTGTAGGTATTTTATTTAGAGAGAGGTCTCACTGAGTCGCTTACGGCCTCACTGCGGCTGGCTTTGAACTTAGGATCCTCCTGCCTCAGCCTCCCAAGCCACGGCGATTACAGGCCCCGGGCCCACACTTTGGCGCTGTGCTGTTCTGGGTACCAGAGCGGGTGCGGCCGGAACGCAGTGTCGCCGCCGAGGCCGGCCCATCCGCGGCCGGCGGGAGGAGGGGGTGCGGGCGGGTCCCGGGAGGTTCCGGGAGGGCGCCCCGGGCACGCAGCCGCGTCGCCCGCAGTTTCGCTTTTGGCTCCCGCGCGGTGCTCCCGGCAGCGGCTCCCTCCGCGGCTCCCTCCGGGCTGAGCGAGCTCAAGACCCCGGCCCGCCCGCCCGCCGCGCCGCCTCCCTTCGCATCTGGCCGGACCCCTCGGCCCGACGGCCACGGTGAGCTCAGCGGCGCCTCCCCGGCCCTGGCGGCACCCCCGGGCGCTGCCCCGCGCGGGCGGGGTGCGCCCTACCCGGAAGCCCTGCGGCTCCAGACCTGCAGGCCGGGTCTGCGCCGGACTCCGAGGTGGGCCCTCCGGGCGCGGAGACCCCGGCTGGCCCTGTGGCCCATCCTCCCACTTTGGCAGGTCCTGAGCCCCGGGCTCCCTCCCACTGGCCAGGTGGCCTGTGTGGCTCAGGCCTGTTTTGCCCTCTGACCCCTGAAGTCTCAGCCCGAGACAGGTGGCTCAGGGAGCTGCTGGGGAGAAGGCCCAGGAGACACAGCCAGGATGGGGAGACTGCCTGGCCTTGCCATGGACCCCTCCGCCAAGTGCCCTGGAGGCGGAGGCTCCGGCTCCTTCCTCTTCCCTGGGAGCTCCTCAGACAGGAAGGTGCTACCCATTCGGGAACCCTAAGCCTTGTCGGGTTAATTGCTGTATGACCCTCAGCAGGTGGACTAGGGCTGCCTCCAACACAGGTAGCCCCAGTAGCCACAAAAGGACCACGTGGATAGCTTGAATCCTGCTGAGGGTCATGAGTGATGGTCCTGCCTGGAGTACTCACGGCCCTGGAGAGCTGTAGACAAGCAGGGGACAGGGTGGATACTGTTTTGCTATGGGTTGAGTAGTGGTCAGGGGCAGGAGCTTTCTCCCAGCCACAAGGTCTCAGGACTAGTTCTGGAGGGACTGAGGTCCCAGGTTCTGAGGCATTCAAGCACAGACTCAACCAATACCCTTCTCAGGAGTATGCCTTCAGCCTTTGAGGGGTTGGTCCGGAGCGTGGTCCGGGAGCTGGACCACAGCAGGGAGCTCATCCCAGTGGACAGTCTTCAGAGCTCCACCAGCTACCAGCCTTACAGACTGCTGAGCAGGAAGTCCCCAAGCTCCTGGTTCTGGAGACCTCGCTATACCTGTGTCAACCTGTCAATCAAGGACATTCTGGAGCCTGATGCCCCAGAACCAGGTATCCAGGGAGAAGAAAGGAGTGGCCTGGCCACACCTGCCACCTGCTAGGCTCACCAGCTCTGGGCCTCTGGCCCTGTTTGCAGAGGGTTGGCCTTTTCAAAGGTCCCACTGCCTGGGGGTGGGACAGGACAGTAGCAGGTGGGACAGGCCCCATGCTCAGGTCTGGTCTTGCTTCAGAGTTGGAGCGTAGTGGCTCTTTCCACTTCTATGACGCTGTGGACGGCCAGCTGCAGGGCAGTGTGGAGTTGGGAGCCCTGGGACAAGGGAAGATCTCAGGTGGAGCTGCAGTGTCCGGCAGCTCCAGTGCTTCCATGAACGTGTGCACGCTGCGTGTGGACCCAAACACTTGGGAGATCATGCAACAGGAGAGGTGAGCTCTGGAGGGACTGAGGTCCCTGACCCTGTGCAGCCACACATATGGGGAGGCCACTGGGTCATGGACATCAGGAGAATCCCAAGGCCATGCCTGTGTGCCAGCAAGGAGAGTCTAAGAGGCAAGGGAGCGCTGTGGCCATGGTGGGCTGCCAGGGAAGGAGGCGGCACAGTCACCCAGACCTCAGTTGCAAGGACATATCATGAAGGCAGGGACCTGGGGATCAAACTGAGCCTCAGGCTCAGTGTAGAGGAGAGTAAAGGCTAGCGGGTGCCCCGGGGTCCCATGGGTCCACTTCTCCCTGCTGGACCTCATCCCTCCTCTTCACACCCACCTAGACACTGTTGGGAGTACCCAGGAAGGGTACCCATGCCTGGCATCTGCAGACTCCCAGATGCCCTTGCCACTTCACCCCACCCATCGTGGGGCAGTGGGGAGGCCAGTCTGTGGTGGACATACCCCAGTGAGCTTCCTGCAGGCGCCTGCGGCAGCCCGAACACAAGATCCTGCAGCAGCTGAGGAATCGCAGGGACAATGTGTATGTGGTGACGGAGGTGCTACAGACCCAGGAAGAGGTGAAGGTCACCCAAACCCGCAAGAAGGAGGGCTCGGGCCAGTTTGCACTGCCTGGAAACATGTGCCTTCAGGTGTGTGGCCGGCCCTCAGCCCATCTTGGCCTGACGTGAACGCAGGGTGGCAGCAGGCAAGGTTTTGCCAAGAGCCCTGCAGGAGCAGTTCACAGCCCCACGCTTGACCCAGGGCTCCCCAAAGCCTGGGTTGGCTGACACCAGTAGCAAGTTTGTTACTAGCACCCAGCCCACACCACACCCCACGTCCCCACACCTAGGGCCCAGTCCTGCTATGTCTATTCGTCCCTCAGGGTGAGAGCCAGGGCCACCTGAGCCGGAAGAATACGGTCACCGTCCCCGCAGGCAGCACCCTTGCATTTCGAGTGGCCCAACTCATCATTGGCTCTGACTGGGGTCAGTAGAGCTGGGGATGTCTCTGGGGCCCAGATGCCATGGAGAGGTGGAAGGCCTTGGGAGGGCCACCAGCTGCCTAGGGGCTGCTGCAGGCATCTGGCTGCTCAACCTCCCAGGGCTCAGGAAGACTGAGGCAAGGCCTCACCTGGGGAGGGGGCCTGTGCAGGAGGGGATCCTGGTGACCTCCTTCCCCTCTCTGCTCCCACCCATCGCCAGACATACTGTTCTTCCCGGATGAGAAGCAGAGGACCTTCCCACGGTCCCCCAAAGGTGAGCCCTGCCTGTCCAAAGGGAGAACCCTTCCTTTGCTATTAAGGCCTTCTCCTGTGTTCAGGGCCCGTGGTGCTGGACAGCCTCCCCAAAGGACAGGCTCCTCATATGCACACACAGGGGTCACATCCAGGTGTCACGGCCCTCTGTGGCCTCACACCTGCTCTGGGCTGCCAGTGTTGGGGATGGGGTCAGGGAGGAAGGCCTCAGCCCTCTTCGGCTCAGGGACCTACTCTGGCACTAAGCCATGCTGTCCTCCCTCCCCTGTCCTCACACCTCTGCCCAGGCCACAAACCTCCCCGAGGGGCAGGCAGCTCACCGAAGCAAGCCTTCAGACTCTCCTCCATGTTAGAGTCCATCCACGACCGCCTCAAGTTCCTGTCAGGTTTGTGAACTTTTGATACCTCTTGGACCCCTGGGGGCTCTCCTTCTGCTCCTGGGGTGTGCCCTTCCTGTCCAGGGCTCTCCAGGGCTCTCTGTCCCCATAGATGGGCCACTTGAAGAGTTGGTTGTCACTGAAGACTTCCAGGGCCTGCAGGCAGAGGTGCAGGCTGGCTCTGAGGAACTGGAGCACATGGAAAAGAACCTGAGACAGCAGCTGCTGGGGGCCCTGGGGAGGATCCTGAAGGACCCGCTGGCCCTGCAAGCTTTAGAGTCCTCAGTAAGTGGGCTGTGTGGGGGTGGAAGGGTCTGCCCAGCCAGCTCAGGCTCATGCACCCTGTCTGTGCCCCAGCTGGAGCAGGGCCTATGCTATGGCGGGCAAGTGGAGCAGCTGGACGGCCCAGCAGGTGCTGTCCTCGAGTGCCTGGTGCTCCCCTCCAGGATGCCTGTGCCAGAACTTGCCGCCCCTGTCTTCTACTTGTTGGGGGCGCTGACGGGTGAGTGACCTCTGGGGAGTAGATGTGGGACAGAGGGAAGGACTAGGTTCCCCATTAGGCCTCCCTGAGCCCCCTCTCAGACCATGTCTCTCCCCAGTGCTGAGTGAAACGCAGCGTGAGCTGCTGGCTGACTTGCTGGAGACAGGGACCCTGTTGGAGCAGCTCAAGCTGGTGAGAGGGCACAGCATGGGGGCTGGAATGGGCCCTGGGACACCTGTGAGGGCAGAGCATGCCCAGGGACTCAGGACTAGCTCTTCCACCCATAACCTCCTACCCTCCTGCAGGTGGAGCACCTCTTGCAGCAGAGCACCCCATGGCAGGAGCAGAAGGCTATGTCCTTGCCCCCTGGGCTCCTTGGGAGTAGCTGGGGCAAGGAGGCCCCAGGGTGGACCCTGCTGGAGGAATGTGGCCTGGTGCTGCAGGTGGGCGCCCCCCATGTGTGCTGGGAACCTCAGGCCCAGGGCCCCACGTGTGCGCTCTATGCCTCCCTGACCCTGCTGTCAGGGCTACATGAGGAGCCCCGTTAACCTGCACGCTGGGCAGCTCTCCAGCCAGGCACCCCCCTGCCAGCCCTAGGAAGGCTGAAAGCCCATTTAACTACAGGGCCAGCTCACTCAAAGGCCCAGGAGTTGGGAAAACTCAATAAATATGATGTACAAAGGAAAGAATGGTAACAGTTCTGTTTTTGAGGGTCCTGAGTCCTCAAAAAGATGGGTAGGATGGGGACCATGCCCAAACAGGACCAGAAGGCACATGTGGGCCAAATGCAGGTACCCCCCATGGTCTTGCTCCTGCCAGGGGAGGAGTTTGGACATGGTCACATCCCCAGCCTCCCCAGCCTGCTTGGTTGCCTGTGAAAGGAAAGCAGAGCAGTTTAGGGGAGTCAGTTCCACAGGGTGGTCTGTTCCTGAGGCACAGGGAATGGCTGCCTTGCTTTAGGGAACTTGGGGTACCTTGCTGACAGGAGCAGGCCCCTTCTCAGCCCATAGGCTGGGACACAGGGATGCAGCTGTGGCTAAGGCCCAAGAGACCCAGGACTCCTGGGACCACAAGGAAGGTCCTGGAGAGGTAAGGGTGACTTGTCCTAAAGAAACACCTTTGCTCATAGGTAGGAATCTCTGCAGGTCAGAGGCCTCCTAGTCCTCATGTTCAGATCCCTGGGAATTCAGCAGGTCTCAGAGCACAGGCAGGGGATTCTTCCCAGGGGATCAGCAGCCCATGGCATCCATGTCTAGAGTGAAATGTGTGGTTGATGTGGCCAGGTACTATGGGTGCCCCGGGACCTGGGATGCCAGGTGAGTGTCTTTATGGCAGGTCCACAGTCCGCAGCACAGCACAGGCCTGTGATTCCAGCAACTTGGAGGCTGAGGCAGGGGGATCACAAGTTCCAAGCCAGCCTCAGCAACTTAAGTAGCTGGGGGTGTGGTTCAGTGGTGAAGCACCCCTGAGTTCAACCCCCAGTACCAAAAACAAATAAATAAATACAGCCTGGCTAGCCTCTGGCAGGGCCTTATGTGAAAAGGGGAGAGGGTGTACATGTGTCAGGGTGCAGCTGTCCCCTGGCCCTCTAAGCCCAACACCCAGGTGGAAGATTAACCACGAGTGGACTTTTCTGTGGGTGAAGGGGATGGGTCCCCTGGAGGGCTGGAGCTGAGGCGTCCTCACAGAGGGCCCAAGCCACCTGGCCACCTGCAGCTTCCCTGGAATTGTAACAAAGTCCCAGGGCGAGTCACACTTCCAGAGGCTCTGGGTACTTCACCTGAACCTCACACCACACCAGGGAGTACGCATGGCTGCCAGCTCCTGGGCCAGGGCCATGGCAGACAGGTGGACCCAGGTCTACAACAGGCAGACGCTTGGGCAAGACAGCCTGGCTCCGAGCAGCTTGCAAAGGGGTGTGGGCTGTCCAAGTACCACAGGTAGGGTGGTGGGTGTGTCTTCTCACCACGGCTGCTTCCCCATCGGAGCCCCGACCTGAGGGTGGGCTGTGCAGCACCGTAGGGCTTGCCCATGGACACGCTGTGCTCTGGGGTGCAGATAAGCCTGTGCTTGGAGGGAGAGTGTCACATGCCCCTCCTGGGGTCTGTTCCTGGGTTGCAAGGAAGGTGGGGAGGCCAGGCTTGCTTTGGGGGGCACTGTTCCTGAGGGGATCCATTTGGCTTTTGTTCTGACACTCACCCTGTACATGGCTGACCAGCTTGAAAGCTCCTGGAGGCCAGCATGGATGTCCACAGCTCCCACACAGACGCTTTTCCTTCCCTCCCTCTCAGTCACCAGATCTGGCGCCTCCCAGGCTCTCCGGCCTTTCCTTTGACACATCTCTTGCATGTGATCCCTTTCAGCATCTGCTCTGGAGGATCCAAATTGATTCACTGACCCTCGCCCCTGGGTCTACAAAGACTCACTCACACATTGGCCTGACCCTACAACGCAGCCTGCGAGATTCATCTACAGAGACCCTGAGGCCAGTCCCAAGAGCGCTGGCCCCAGGGCTTCCCTGGGCGGGGCCAGTGGCTCTGCCATCTGGCTGCACTGGCTTTGCCTGCTCCTTAGCTCTCCTGCTGGCACTCTCAGTCAGACCCACCCCTGTGAGCCGCGTGTTTATTGTCCTATGGGTGGAGTGGAGCCAGGGAGCTGGGGAGAGGGCAGGACCCCATCCCTGTCCCTGAGGGAAAGACACCTGCGTGTGTGAGTCTCTCTGAGGAAGAAGGTTCCCTCAGCCCATAAGGGTAATCCCCCTGTGCTGTCCTCAGGATGGGTCATCAGGGGAGCCTTCCAGAGAAGCCCACTGTCAGGTGGGGTAGGGGTGGGTGGCCCCTGGAGGTGGACAGCAGGTGTGGGCAGGAGGGCAGAGAGGACATAAACCAGGACAGCAATCAGGAATAGGGACAGGGTAAGGAGGGGGTGATGACTGCTGGCAGGGCTGGTCGGCTGTGGCGGGCGGAAGGCAGAGTCCAGGAAGGGGCAGGACAGCCTGTGGTGTGTGGCTCCATAGTGTCCCTACCAGACCCCCATTTAAGACCCCCTCTAGGCCAGATGCCAAGCCAAAGTTTGGACAGGGCACACTCCAGGGGACCAGGAAAATAGGCCTGGCAGGGGACAGATGGACCCAGGGATTCGAGAGGGGAGGAGCTCAGGGTGAAATGGTACCAGCTGTCCCTCTCTGTCACGTGGTGATCTCTGGAGAAGAGTCCCAGAGCAAGGGGATGGCGTCCAGCTCCAGGCCCAGGGTACCCTTTGCAGATCTGCCATCGTGGGGACTGAGGATGGTGTGGGTCAGTGCCCCCGTCAGACGCTGGTCCGAGGGCCCTAGCTTGAGCTCAGTGGGTTCCCGAGCTGCCCCAGCGGCCTGCGAGGCTCCTACGCTGGAACGGGCTGTCGTCGTAGAGAGGCGCGGGCTGAACTGAGCGGGCGCGACGCCAAGGGAGGCGCAGGAAGCGAGGACCGCGTCGTCGGTCCTGCGAACGGGTCAGCAGCGCCACCTGCTGGGCAGACACGAGCGCCGCCGCGGCCACCGCCGGCTCGGGGTCGCTCCGCAGCTGCCCTAGGTCTGTGCACACACACGGTTCAGGGAGGGAGGGAAGGTCACTCGGGATGCCAGCGTCAGAGCCCTGGCCCTCCAGCATCCCCTCGGTCCTAGCACCCGCCACCCCTTCAGGACCTCACGCTCTGACATGCTGAGTCCTCACCCTGGAACAGGGAATCCAGCAGCTCCTGGCTGACTCCTCTGGGACTTGCGTGATAAATCAGGAAGCCTGGAGCAAAGCAAACCCCGAGTTCCGGCTGCATGTCCCAGAGGGGAGGGAAGGGTCCAGTTCATAGAGCCCTGGGTGAGATGGCCTACCCAGGACTACCTTACCTACAAGCACAGTGGCAGCGTGCCGCAGTGGGTCCTGAGGACTCCGCAGATAGCCCTGGGTCTGGCTCAGGAAGCTGGGCAGGTGGTTGGGGTATAGCTGAACCTGGGAACAGAAGGGTTTGTTGCAGGAAGGAGGGCCAAAACTGCAGAGGTGAATCTTGGGGTTGGGAGCCCGAGAGCTGGGCAATATGGAGCAAGGTCGTGCACCTGCCCCACCAGGAGCATGAGGGACCACACCCCCTCACCATCACCGTGCTTCCTCTACCTACCAGGCGCCGGCAGACACGGCTTAGAGCCTCAGGACTGTCATAGTGGGCCACAGTGACCATCTCCTCCAGCAGGCCCCAGCGAAGAGCCTGGTCACAGCGGGCCAGCGTCCACTCCGAGCTCTGGCATAGGGAAAGGGAGCAGGGTTAGGGACCCAGGAAGTGGCACGAGGTAGAGGGGAAAGGGTTGTGACCAGGAGCGTTGGAAGAGCCCAAGGCAGGGGATTGAGTACAGCAGCCCAGGGGAAGATTAGGAACCTGGGAGCCCATGAGGTCACTGTGGGTGTCCCTGACCTAACCTGAGGCAACAGCGTGGGAGTAGGGAGACACAATTGGATGAGATAGGGATGGGACGGAGGGGCAGCTGACCTCAGCAGCGTCCCGACTGGGGTCGTGAAGGCGCAACAGCAGCGGCACGAGACTCTGTAGTATGAGCTTCCGCAGGGGACCGCGGAGCCCCACACGGAGCCCACTCTGGCCCTGTCGCGCCAACGTCCCCAGGAGCCCGACAGCCGAGGCGCGGACTGAGTCGCGGGCCTGCATGGGAGGACACAGTCAGGCGGATGGAGAGGGAGAAGGGTTCAAGAGTGAGGGGGTGGTCAGGTGGAGCGAGGAAGGAGAGGGTCTGGGGGCGCTGACTGGGGTGCCTCTGGAGTCAGGGCGGCGGGGAGCGTGCAGAGAGCCTGGGGGAGGGGCGGAGACTGCAGGCGGGACGGGGCCTGAGGGCGGGTTGATGGAGGAGGCGGGGCCTTGCTCACGTCGTCCAGCAGCGGCGGGAGGCGTAGCCGGAGCTCCCGGCTCAGCAGCCGCACCGGAGCTCGCCTTTGCATCAGTAGCCTCCGCAGTGCACCCAGCGCTGCACCCACGAGCCGCGCGTCGCCCTCGCCCAGTGCGCCCAAGAGTGCCGGCAGCAGCGTGCCCACATGCCGCACCTGCAGAGACAGGGACTAGTGGCCAACCCCTGGCAGACCTGTCCTGGCCCCGCCCTGACCCTGTCCTCACCTTCCCTTGATTCAGGGCAAGGTGGCCGAGGCCTAGCAGGCCCAGCCAACGCACTGTGGGCTCAGAGTCGCCCTGCCAGGTTCGAAGCCGCTCTAAAATGACGTCCTCCCGCAGTAGCCGTGCGGTGGGCCGGCTTTGCAACAGCTAGGGAAGGGACACACAGTCAGCAAGGCTCTCAGCCCCCGTGCAGGCCGGTGCTCCTTAGGGTTCACGTAACCATCATCCCTCACCGCCCTTCTGGAAGAGGACTCACCCCTGTGAAAAAGGCCATAGCGGTGAGGCGCTGCGGGTCGTTGGCACTGCGTAGCCGGGGAAGCAAATCTGCGAAGAGGCCTCGAAGGTGGTGGTCGGCGTGTGCCACCATGGCACTGAGGGTGGGGTAAATGGGAGGTCTCCCTCCACTTGGGGCCTCACCCACCCTCCTTATACCCCTGCCTTGAACCGGGCCAACAGGAAGCCTCCTCCTGGTGTGCAGTCCTGAGGCCCCTCCTCACCTGGCCAGCAGCAGGACACCCTCTAGGTGTGTGTGGGCTCCCACCAGTCTCCTCCAGCCTCCCGCTTGCTCCATGCAGGTGACCACCATGCGACCACCATCCCCGGTGAGCAGGGCCTTCAAGGCCTCCACCGCACAGCTGGAGGTAGGGGCAGCAGGTCAGTGGACAGTGAGGGCCAAGGAGGTGCTGAGCATCCCACTTACCTCAGTGTCTCTCCTCACCTGGCATGGCTGTGTGGAGGCCCTCGGTGGGACGGGGCCCAAACCTTAGGGCTGTCAGGAGAGCGTGCCCCGTGAGCCAGTTCATGTAGCTGTGTGACCAGCGCAAGCAGCAGGTGTGGGTAAAATCCTCGCGTGGCTCCCACACAGCCGGACACTGCCAACATCTCCCCAAGAGCCCGCGTGGCCTGTGGAGCAAGTGGTCCCCCAGGCTTGAGCAGTGCCCAGGACCGTATCAGGCACCAGGGAGGAGGGTGCTCCGCAGACAGGACGAGGACAAAGCCTAGGACACCCATGTGATATTCTGCAAGATATCCGTGACTCAAGTGGGAACCTGTGGGCTGACTCACAGCCAGGGCAGCCAGACTGGCCTCCTGCTGGTGCCGGTGGAGCTACTCACCGCCAGCGCCTCGGGCTCGGGCCCTGCTGCTCCCTTCAGCGCCCACAGCAGTTGCACCAGCACCTGTCCGTTCACGCGCTGGTTCCGGCTGAGGCTGCGCCACAGTTCTGCCGCTGCCCTGGGGGCACAGGGTGACAGGATGTGAGACAAAGATTGGGTGCAGGGCCAGTGCTGAGTGGCTGCGGGAGGTCCTCAGGCTGGGGCCAGGGAGGGGAGAGTAAACCATCCCTTGCCCTCCCAAAGAAACAAAATAAGCCACAACGACTTTGGGGTTGGGATGCACTTTGGAGCCCTGTTGGGCATGACAGTGAAACACACCTGGTTCTTTCTATTTACACAATAGCTCATAGAGAATAAAACCAAAGATGATTTCTCCTGGAGCAAATTAAACCAATAACTAGAGGCATCCCTGAGCCGAAGCCACTCTGCTTGCTCACCCACCCCAGAGCACAACACCAGGTATTTCGTGGAACAACCCTCGATCCTCAGGAGAGACAAGGTGACCCCATGAAGGACTTCCATCATCTGGGATCCCAAGACAGAAGGGCAGTGGGATTTCACAGAATGGTAAGGTGGAATGGATGGAAAGCAGCAGGGGAGGGAATTCCAAGGCTCTGTTCCCTTACAGCCTGCCTATTGCAGAGCCGGATGGCCAAGCAGGAAGGGGGAAGGAAGCTGCGTGGGGCCGCAGGGGAGCATTCGGATCAGGTTACCGATCTGGAGGCAGCGACCGTGGCAGCAGCGCCCACACCACATCCTGCGCATGCTCCAGGGCCAGTGCGCTCAGTACCCGCAGGGCCAACCGCCGCGGCCTCCCCTCGGCCAAGCTGGGCACTTGTGCCAGCAGCCCACGCACCAGGGCATGCACCTGGGTGGAGGGGGCAGGTGTCAGTGGCCAGAACTCCACTCTTCACTGAGACCCTCTTGCCAACACCCCACCCCCAACCAGCAGAAACAGCCTGAAGGGGGCATGGGTGCCAGGCTGCAGGCTCCAACACCCCAGTGTGAGTAGGGAGGGAGTGGGGGCTGACCTGCTCTCCCAGTTGTGCCCCATGGGCCTCCAAGGCTGAGGACAGGGTGAGTGCTGTGGCCTGGGTCCCTGCAAAGCCAGCCTCTTCCAAGCAGGCAGCCGTGTAGAGCGCAAGGTCAGAGAGAGCACCCTCCTCCCAGGAACTCTGGAAGGCCTAGGGCAGGGTGGGGGGGTGTATGCAGTCTCCAATCCTCTCCCAGCTCTCCTCCCCAGCCTCCAAGCTTGGCTGTGAAACCCTGAGCCCCTGTATTGCTCCTCAGCCCATTTTATCCTGGAGCACCTTCCCCAGTTACAGCACCGCTTTCCATCTAGTGTCTGGGTGACCTGGAAGAGGAGCTGTGCTCCCCAGTGGTCCCCACAGTGCCCGATCCCTCAGCACTCACCTGCTGGGGCCCCTCTGGGGCTGGCTCCTGGGCACTGTGTGGGGAGCAGGGCTCACGGCCAGCTCTGGGGTCAGTGGTCCCACTTCCAGGCTCAGCTTCAGAATCAGTGGGTACCTGGTCCTGCAGCTCAGCCTGAGATCCAAGCTCCTGGGACTCAGGCTGAGGGCCTGTGGAAGGGGGTCCCAGAGGCTGCCTCTGGCCGGACCGTATTCCTTCAGCTAGAGCTGTCAGGGTTAGGGTCCCCATGGGGTGCCCCCAGTCAAGTCCCCACATGCCCCCAGCCATAGTACCCGACTGGCAGCACTTGCTACTGCTCCTCCCAGGAAATCCTGTCCAAGCTTGACCTAGAAGCAGGCCCCGGGCGGGCCCACAGACAGGTGTGGTGTGTCGTGGCGCGTGCGTGTATGCATGCATGAGCATGTGCCTGGGGTGGCTGGGGAAACGCCGAGCTGCTTGGCTTGTGAAGGGCTCCCTTGCTGGAGGAGAGCAGCCAGCCTGAAGCCTGGGTGTCTGTCATCTAGCTCTGCCCACCGGGGCCCTAGGAGACCATGGATCCAGAAAGAATAGAGAAGGATCCTTAACCCCAACGTCTGACCCCTCTTGCCAGGGTAGCTGAAGACATCCCTGGTGAGGTCCCAGAAGGGTCGGGCCTGGGCTGGTCTGTTGCATTCCAACCTAGTCAAGCATCTGGGTATAGGCACTGATGGGTGCTGTCACCATCTGAGGTTGGGGAGAGTTTGCTCCCTGCTACGGAGCAGAGGAGATAGGAGAAGTTGCAGCCTCTTGCCCACCACCGTTGGGATGGGCCCTTCTGGGTCCTGGCTAGTTCTGACATAGTGACCCCTGGGCTGGCTCCTAGGAGTACAGGGCTGAGATCACTAGTGCCTTGGGTGCCTGGGTGTCATTTGTGCTACCCAGGGTATGAGTCCATACTTCTCTCCAGGCTCATGCTTCTCAGAACTGGCCTGATAAGGCCTTTGCCCTAAATCCCTACCCTCCATCTTCACCCAATCACACAGTGGGTGCTGCCCAACCCAGAGCCAGGGGAGCCGGATAAGCTGGTCTGGCAGAGTGCCTGGGCAGGTGGCAGTGCTCCCGGAAGAACCCCAGATGGTTCGGCATTCTCCCCATTCCCTCACTGGCCTGTGTACCTCAAGCAGCCGGATGGGAGAGGCCCAGGCCCCGTGCCCTGCTGTCAAGCCTGGAGCACCCCTCCCAAACAGTTTTGAGGTCACCAACCTGCTGAGCAGAGGCAAGACTAGCCCCCACAGAGCTTCAGCTTTGCCCCTCCTCCTTCCCCTTTCCCAGCTGCTGTCAGGAGTTGACGTCCCAAGGCAGAGACCCTGGCTGGTCTGTGACACTTGCTAGGATCATGCAATAGCAGGGGACACCTGGGTTCTCCTTGGCTTGGGAGGCTTGAGACACCCCTACTGCTTCTGAGCCCAGGGACAGTGACCTCAGCAGGTGTGGGAGACAGAGCCATGCTTGGACTGTCTGATGCCCCTCTCCCCCATCTGCCCTCTGGCAGGAAAGGTCTTCCACAGTAACTCCTCCAACTTTGAGGTAGACACCAAAGCCCTCCCTCTCCTGGCCTGAGGCTCCAGCCTCAGCTCCGGTCCAGCCCCTGAGCCTGGGGTGCTCCAGGTGACCTCCACATTCCTGACTCCAGCCCAGCCCCCAGACCAAGAGACAAGCAGGCTGAATGAATAAATGACACGTGACAAGTTGTAGGGACAATGAAAGAGTCATGTTGTTTCCAGGCAGCACTCCCCCCCACCGCCAGGGATTCTCACAGGAGGCCTCCAGCACTCAGACTGTCCACCAGGGCCCGAAGCTTTTCAGAGAGAGCAACCTGCGGGAGACAGGAGGGGGCTGGCAGGTGGATGGTGGAGGGTGGGGTGTACGTACACAGGGCTGCCCACCCACAGGCCTTCTGCCCACCTGGTACACTGCAGGGCTCTGCAGCCGTCTGTGCGCAGGGCTGAGGCGGCTAAGGGACTGCTGGGCAAAGGCTCTGGACTCTGACAGGGACGGGAGCGGCTCACACAGCTGCAGGAGAGGGGTAGAAGCAGGGCTTGAGCGTGGCTGGGGGTCGGGTCTCAGCTGGACTCAAAGTGTGAGGAGCAGTCACCTCTCCCAGGCGCAGCCAGAGTCGCAACAGGGGCTCCACCTGGGCGGGCCTCACGGTGCAGGGCTCTTGAGCCCCTCGAGGCCAAACCCTCAGCTCCTGCCCAGCCTGGGGCGGTGGCTCTTCTGCCAACTGAAGCAGGTCCATCAACAGAGACCCTGTGTGGGTGGGGGGCAAGAATAACAAACGTGTGGTGGGGATCTGGGGCCTTGAAGAAGAGCCCCAGGGACAGGAAGGGGCTCACCATCAGAGCCCAGGAGCCGGAAAGCAGCCTTGCTCCCTGGCAATGTCTGTTTCTCAGGGTCCTCGGTCAGCTTCATTCGAGGTTGACCTCCCACAGATACCAGCTGCAGGGAGACAGTGTTGGGATAGCTGGACCCCTGTCCTCTACCTGCCACAATCTCCTGGACCCACCCAACCTTGGCCCAGACACTGTCCCCACCTTGTAGACGCAGCCAAGGGAAGGCTGTTGGGGACAGGTGACCACACTGGTGCCAATGCCAATGACGTTTACCTCACTGCCCTGGGGGGGAGAGGTAGAAATGAGCCCAGCCAGGACCTATAGGGTTACAGGACCCTTCAGATCACCCTCCATCTACCCACTTCCACCCCACCTCCTGGGCCAATCGGGCCAGCTCTTCCTCATCAATATTGTTGCTGACAGCGATGGGGACAGCCTCCAGCCAGGGCACCTGGAACCTGTGTGTGATGGGATTTGGGGACAGCCCCTTAGACCTTCCCGATTTACCTGGGCCTCCCTCCCACCCCCACTCAGTCACATTCACATTGGTCCTTAGCTTCAGAGACCCTGGTAGACCCACCCCATGCCTCCCTTCCAGGGCCTGCTCTATTGCCCCTAAAACAAGACCCAAAGCCTTCGCTGTGGGGAAAAAAACACTCTTCCTCCCTGCCTCTACACCCCATCTCCCAGCTCCCCACAGGGCCTCCTACAAGGCATGCCCCCTGGCGGGGGACTCACTGGGCAGCAGTGGTCCGGAAGACCCTGCGGATCTCCTGAGCCTGCTGAAGTAGGTCACCACTGTCCAGCCTCACACCCACTGCCCTGTAGCCCAGCTCCCCCAGTGCCAGGGCTACTGCCAGGAAGTTAGGAAGACCACTCCTGCAGGCATAAACAAAGGGTTAGGGGCTGCAGCTGCTCTGCCAGGCCAACCCCTGGGGAAAGCCTGCAGCTTACCTCCGCACACTGTAGGTGTCTAAGAGGCCCTGGAAGGCCCGGGGAAAGGCCAGAGCATAGGCCACAAAAGCTGCCTGCTCCCCCAGGTGGGGCTCTTGCAACCCCAGCCCCAGGTGTGCACACACTCGCTCCAGCCACAACTTTACACTGGCAACCAGGTCCACCCTGGGGCCTTTGCCAGCAGCTGGAGCCAACATCTGCAGAAACAGGTCAGTGAAGGTCAGACCCTGTGGGCAGTGTGAGCTCGGGAGTGGTGATACACCCTGCCCTGAGGGCAAAGGTAACGCCACCAGTGTGCCAGCTTCCTGAGGTGGCATCTGTGTATAAGCAGCTGGGCCCAGCCCACCCCTACAGGGACAAGGGTTGGTCTTGAGGTTTGCCCTCTGAAGTACAGCAGGGTTAAGAAGAGGTACTGACCGGGTCAGGGGGCACCTCATTGCCTGAAAATGAAGTGATGAAGGAGTGGGCCAGGGTTCCAGCTATCGGCACACCCCGAAGCTGCCCAGCAAGTACGTTGCTGCTGCTGTCAAACCCTGGGCAGAGAAGTCAGGCAGGCTTGTGGGCTCTGGGCTGTGGTGGGGCTTGCTCCTTCCCAGCCCTGGCCTTCCCCATTCTCACCGCCCAGGTAGCTGTAGGTGGAGGCCGTGAGACCCCCATCTGGGCCCTGAGCACGCCGCAGGCCAAGCTCCAGCAGTCGCTTATCTGGCCCTGCAATCAGGCGAAGCCGGGCTGCGTTGGTGGCGACCAGACTGTGGCAAGTGACAGGCCAGGGAACCCGAGTGAGGATTAGGAAGCTACCCAAGTAGGCTGGAGTTCCCATCCAGAGCTCCACCTCAGCCCTCCCACTGTCCCTCCTGGAGGCCAGCCCTCCAAGGATCCCAGTCCAGCGCTCCATCCAAGGGGCTAGGCCTATTGGGGCTTCCCACGAAGACTCAGGTCCCACCTGGCATAGCTGACCAGGCAGAGGAGCGGCGTCTCCAGCAGCTGCACCAGAAGGAGCGGCCCTGAGACCTGAAGGAGCGGAACCTGCGGGGACGCTAGTCAACTCCATTTGGCCGACGCACCTCCGGTCACCCCCTCCACCCCTCCACCCGCACTCACGCCTGGGAAAGCAAGAGAGCCCTCAGGAAGGGCTCGCACGGTCACCCCGGAGCAGTCAAGGGCCCGAAGGTGCTTGAAGAACGCAGGGTCCGTGTCTGGGGGCAGCATCGAGGCCAGGAACTGCACGTCTTAAGAGGACAGAGGCACTTGTGCAGTACGGGGTCTCGCGGGGTTGTGGAGGGGCGTGGGGCTTCTGGTGGGAAGGGGACTGTCCCGTAGGGTCGCGTGGGCCTCGCGGCTACCTGCGTCCAGAAGACGGAAGGTGCGCAGAAAGCGCATGCAGTCGCGCAAGCCCGCGGCCAGGGCGAAGGAACCGCCGAATGGGCAGCGGCGGAAGAAAAGCTCGAACTCGGCGGGGTCGAGCGCCCGGCCTGCCCGCCAGTAGCCCAGCGCCATGGTGGCCTGGTAATAGTCGGTGAGCAGAGGCCGAGCCGCCGCGCGCCCCTCGGCGTCCCACTCCGCCGCCATCCTGCTCCGCTGAGCTAGTGACACGCCCCGCCTAACCCCAGCCCCATGACCCCGCGCCTTCCCCACCCCGCAAAACCAGCCGGCGGCCACAAAGCTTGTGGAATCTGGACGGGGCGGGGACTTGTCTGTTGCTCGCCCCTCTCGGAACCCAATCCAGAGCCGGCCTCTGGACTAAGGGGCGGGCCCTCCAGCAGTCATCTCTCCCGTGGCGGGTAGCGACTTGCAGGAAGGCAAGAACTTGCCAGGAAGTGGGTGTCACCCTGGCTTGTGCCCCAAGTGCAGAGATCCAGGACAGGCTAGGACTAAAAGGAGGTGGGTAGCTGGGGAGCTTGCAGCAGCTGGGCTAGGACACAGCTAGCCAGGTCAGGCCCCCAAGTCTGCCCTTCACAAGTGAGGGGTGCCTAGGAAAGGGAGAGGGGACTGCGTGTTGGTTTGTGAGTTTCTTCACTCCAGGCCCCCACAGGAAATTCTCACACTTTTTGAAAAGGTATCACTTTTCCTGGTGGACAAGAACCCCAGGATGACAGCTCCAACATTAAGTAACCATATCCCCAACACCCTTTTAACCCCAAACCCATTGTGACCAGCAGTGCTGGCTTACAGCCCAATGGGGCACAACTCCAGAACACGACTCATCACATTTTGGACAGCCCAGTTCATAATGGGACTGGGCCAGAGCCAGGTCTCCAGCAGCTGGGGAAAGGGACCCAGAGAGTTAAAGAGGTGCAGCATGCTGCAGATGGTGGGAAGAAGCCAGTGTCAGGTTGACAAGGGGGTTGGTTCCACCTTGTAAAGCAGCAGGGCCAGGACACCTACTGGGATCAGGGACAAGAGGCAGAGCAGAGAAAGGAAAGGGATAGGGGGGTTGCTCTTCAGTAAATGAGCCAATAGGCAATGTCTGGCTTAAACTGCTTCAGACTTGTCACTTGCATCAAAAGCAAAAACAGGTGGAGACCAGAGCAGAGGGCAGGTGAGCTAGGGGTGAGGTCATATGACCACACAAAGCTGTGGAGCTCCCAGTGCTGTGTAGGAGGGGCAGTGCAGGGGCAGAGACCATCAGGGACAAGTGTAGGTCTGGGGCCAACCAAATGACAGGACAGGAGTCAGAGTGCTGAGTCTCAGTCTTTAATCTCTGTAGGGCCTCACACAATGTGTGCTTGGCTCAGATCTTGTTGAAAGCTGCAATGTCGACACTCTGCACCTGTGGAAGAAATGGGTACCATCAGAGGCTCGTTTCCCCAAGGCCCACTCGCTCCAGTGCCTGTGCAGTAGGAGCGCAGTGGGGCTCCATTCAGGGACTCATTCATCACCGATGGGGCAGCAAGTGCAGCAGTGGGATCCCAGGTTCCGCCCAACTGCTCACCACCCCTTGCCCCTTACTCACGTGCTCCTCAAACTTGGTGATCTGCTCCTCCAGCAGGTCGGTGCCCACCTTGTCATCCTCCACCACACACTGGATCCGCAGCTTGCGGATGCCATAGCCCACAGGCACCAGCTGAGAGCCACCCCAGACCAGCCCATCCAGCTGGATGGAGCGCACACAGGCCTCCAGCTGGGCCATGTCTGTCTCATCATCCCACTGTGAGAGAGTGGAGGAAGGCTGAGTGAGCCACCCAGAAACCCCCAGAGCACCAGGGGAGAGCCCACCCCTCTTTGGCCTTGAACCACCACGAAGACATAACTCTGCTTCTTTTGAAGGGCTCTTGGAAACAGCCCCACTTACACCCGCCCGGCCCCAAGTTTCTGTTCTTATCCCAAGATTTCTAATCTTGACTTCCCACCAGGAAGAGTCAGAGGCTGAGGCTGTGGGCAGGCCACGATATCCTGCGGTTGAGGGGACTCCTGCCCTCCCCGAGTCCCTCCCTACCCCCACTCACAGGTTTGACATCCAGGAGGATGGAAGACTTGGCCACCAGCAAGGGCTTCTTGGCCTTCTTCTCTGCATACTGCCGCAGCCTTTCCTCCCGCAGCCGAGCTGCCTCCTTGTCCTCCTCCTCGTCACCGCTGCCAAACAGGTCAATATCATTGTCCTCGTCGTCCTCTGCAGGTGTGGCAGCCTTCTTGGCTGGGGGTTCCACTTGGCGCATGGGAGACACGTGCTGCCACAGGTGAGGAGAGGCTGAGACCCAGCCAGGCCTCTCCTCTCTGCTGACCCTAGGCATCCCAAGGGCCTGGGCTCTGGGTCCACAGGAACTGCCCCCCCAGGTGAGGACAAGCTCCCTCCACCCTGACTTGGGGGTCAGCCTGGGCACCATGAACCTTTCTGGGCCCTACTACCTCACTGCTGACCACAGCAAGAGGTGTGAGCCAGGAGGGTGCTCACCTGGGTTTGAGGGGCTGTGGCTCGGTGGGCGGGCGAGCTCTTCTCCAGCACGCTCAGCCGGGCCTCCAGCCTAGCAATGGCCTGCTGCAGGTCCTGCACCACTGTGGGTACAAGGGGACAGGGTCGGATGGCAGGTCTGGGGTGGGGAGGGACCCAACCATCAGCCCAGGCCTCACCACTTCGCAGGTTCTGGTTCTCTACTTCCAGGCTGGCAATGCGTACAGCCAGCTCGCTGTGGTCTCCACTAAGCCCGCCAGAGGCCCCAGGGCCTGAGCTCTGCAAGGCAAGGGAAGGGGAGCTCAGTGCCCCAGCTGTGCCTAGGGCCCCTCAATCAGCCACTCAGAAGCAGAGTGCCATCCTGGGCAAGAGGCTCAGGATAGTCCTCCCTGCTGAGGCCCACCCTCGAGGGTGTGAAGACCTGTTAACCTCAGGGAGGGTGGCTGCACAGCCACAGTAACATTCTCAGTCAAGCATGAGCACAGGACAAGAAGCAGGGGGCCTGTGGCAGCTGAAACACAGCAGCAGCTCAGGGTTATCACTGCTCAGTAGCTGGACAGGAGGCAGCAGGACTTACAGTCCCAGGGGCAGCCTGGCTCAGGGATTCAGGGGGGCCGGGCAGCACCACCTTGAGCTGGAAATGGGAGGGGAGAGCAGTTGAGGGGCCAATGGGAAGGAGCAAGCGTGCAGGAGGCCACTAGTCCAGCCCCTTGCCTCCCAACCCTCACCCCCCTCAACTGGGGATTGAACCCAGGACACTCTACCACTGAGCTGCATTCCCAGCCACTTTCATTTTATTTTTGAGGCCTCATTAAGTAGCCCTGCCTGGCCTCGATCCTTCTGCCTCAGCCTCCCAAGTTGCTGGGACTACAGGTATGCACCATGTCAGCCAGAGCTGACCTGTGAAGGTTCCACTTAACCATAGGGCAGGCTCCCCCCATAGGGCCTACCTAGCTTCTAGACTACCTCCAGATGTTGCGGTCCTTAGGCCAAGGGGGCAGGGAACTACATAACAGGTCAGGGGGTGCACGAGTCCTAGCCTAATGGTTCTTGCAAATGGGATGGGATCCTCCAGAAGGATGGGAGGGCCTTTCTCAGGATCTGCTCCACAGCAGAACCTAATCCTTTCAGCAGGAGGCAGGATTCAGGCCTCTGCCCATTGCACAGCACGTGGGCCCCTGGGTCCTATCATAGCTCTTGGGAAGACAGTGAGTGTCCCCCCTGTGGGAGCTGAGTGACACAGAGCAGAATTTGGGCAGGGATGGCAATCAAAGTGAGGCTCAGGAGACCCACCTGAGAGTGGAAGCTAGCTAGAGTGCCAAGGCTGTTTCCAGGGCAAGGAATGGGGCTATGCCCTGGGGACTGGTGCCCATTCCAGTCTGTGAGTGGCAGGGCCTGGGAGCCTGGGGCCTCACCCACCATATGCAACAGGCCTGAGGAAAAGGAAAAGGTCCCTCTGGAAGAGGCACAAGTTAGCACAGGATCTGGGAATGGTCTCACTCTGTCTCCACACAGCCTGGGCTGGCTCCAGGGATGGCCAGTCAGGCAGGCGGGAAGACTTCCTGCAGCCCCAGAGCCACCAGCCGGGTCTGACCCTCTGGATGCTGGAGCTCAGTATGCCTGATTCCAGTGCAGTAGTCTGTGAGGGTCTTCCTGGACTGAACTGGGGTGAAGGGTTGGGATTTAGGACTGCTGAGATGAGATCAGGTAAAAGGCAAGGACAACAGGGAACCAAGGATGGGCACGGTGGCCAGGCCTGTAATCCCAGCTGCTTGGGAGGCTGAGGCAGGAACATCAAAAGTTCAAGGCAAGCTTTGGCAACTAAGCAAAACTCATCTCAAAAAAAGGGATGGGATGTAGCTCAATGATAAGAGTGCTTGCTAGCAAGCCTGAGGTCCTGGGTTCCACCCTCAGCATAGGGGGAAAGAGAGGGAAAAAAAAGTGTGTGTGTTGGGAGAGAAGCCAAGCATGAAGCAGGAACCATCATACAGTGGTGGCACTGCTCCCAGGAGCCCATGTGCCAGCTGTGCCAGACAGACTGGCCCCCAGACTTACCATATGAATGCCATACAAATGCCCAGAGCCTGTAACACTGGCTCACATGGCAAAGTGGATTCTGCAGAGGGCATTAAGGACCTGGAGATAAGGGTAGGCCTAAGGTCACCACAAGGCTTTGTGCAAGAAAGAGGAGCCAGAGGGGAGGCCGGAGTGATGGACAGCTGAAGAGAGCCTGTGCTAAGGCAGACAGAATGGAATTTCTCTAGAGACTTCAGAAGGAACCTGCAGACAGCTAAGACACTGCCTCCTGAGACACATTTCAGACTTCTGATCCCGGAACCACAGGATAATAAATGCATACCATTTTAACCACTAGATTGTGGCAATTTGTTACAGTGCCAGCAACTAGAAAACACAAACAGGCCTTGGCTTCTACAAGGCGGGGGGGTGGGGGTGCTGCTAAAAGTCCCTAGAAATGTGGAAGTGGCTGTAGAATTGGCAACAGTAAGGCTGGAAGGCCTCTGTGAAGCATGACAGAAAAATCCTGGCTCCCTTGAGCAGGCTGTGGAGCAAAAGCCTGGGAAGAGGGTGAGAAGCAGCATCACCTTGGAGAACACTAATGGCAGATGCTGCAGTGAGCTTAGGTGACAGAAGTATGCATCACCAGAGAGGGTAGGGGCATTGGAGGACAGGCTGGCTCCATGTATCAGGCAGGGCGCAGAAAGCAGGACTCCTAGATGAAGGAAGCTGACCTTCCACTGAGATTCCTGAGCCAAGTCTGGAAGGCACAGGTTAGCTTTGTGACCCTTACAGCAAGATGAGGAAAAGAGAGGAAGGACTTGATGGTCTGGGGAATTCACAGAGCCTCGAGACTGCAAGACACTAGCGAGGCGACTCATGCCAGGAAAGCACGCTCTGGAGAGAGCCGGCGGTGGCTGGTATCCAGGAAAGAGACACAAGTCAGAGGATTTACATGCCCACCCAGAGATCAGGAGCTTGACTTATGGCTCTCCTCAGCCAGCTCAACAGGAGCCAAGAATGGGATGAGATGATCCACTGAAGACCTGCAGACCCTGTGGCATACAGAGGGACCCACAAACCTCAAGAAGTTTGTATCAGCAGAACCCCTACCAGCTTGGACCAAAGGAACAGAGACAAGATGAAGTCAAAGG